TGTTTTATATTCTAGTTTGCTGGTTATTTTCTCTCTTTTTGGCCTATGAACCCATTCACTGAGTTTTTTTATTTCAGTTCTTGTTCTGAAATTTCCACCTGGTTCTTCCTTATATTTAACGTTTCTCTCAGGAGACTCTATTTTATTTTGTTTCAGGCATGTTCATAATTGCTTGTCGAAGCATGTTTATAATTCTATCATATCTGTCATCTTGCTGTTGGCACCTAATGACTGTCTTTCATTTTTCATTCAGTTTTAGATGCTTCTTGTTTTCGGTATGATGAGTGATTTTTCTATTGAAACTCGGGACATTTTGGGTATTATATTATGAAGCCCTAGGTCTTAAGTAAACTTTCTCTTTTAACTGGCTTCCTTCGACACCAGCAGGGGAAGTAGACGAGCTTCCTTGTTACTGTGAGTGGGGGTAGAAGTTCAGGTTCTCCACGCAACCTCAGTTGACACTAAGGGCTGGGGGCCCTGCATAGTGACTAGCTCCCCGCTGGTCTTCCCCTGATGCCTCTCTGGCTGGCGGGAGTAGGAGCGCCTCATTACTGTCCCTCCTCCCTGGCCTTTGCACCCACACCGTGGGAGCGAAGTTTGCCAGTTCCTACAAAGCACGGGCCTAAGAGGTCATCAGGAGAACAGAGTAGTGGACAGGACTCGGGGACTCTGGCCCTGCCACTCATCCACTGCGTGACTATGGCATGCCTTTCCCAGACATTGCGTGCATGGTGTTCTCTGCCACCCACTGAGCCAAATACAGAGGACATAGAGAAGATAGACATGTAGTCCCTGTCTTTATGAAGCCTTGGGAATGCAAACGCTCCTGGCATCTGGGCAAAATTTTGGATTGGGGCTGAAGGGTAACAATGCCTCAGTTACTTACTATTCATTTCTCACTAACTTGAAGAGTTGAGGGCTTGGAGTTAAAATTTTTGTTTTAAGTCAAGAAATAGGCCATTTCACTGTTTCTTACACATTTGAGTTCGTGGACTGAGCTTTTGGGGAGGAAGGATTTTATTTATATATCTGAATCCTACCCTACCTGTTGTGTTGCAGCTTGTCCTTTTCACGAAATGTCCCCAAAATGATTCTGTCAGGTTATATAGACCTGCCTCATTTTAGTTCCGTCATTTTTGATATGGACATATCATATTTTTGTTGGTCCTCTATTCATAGATCTGGCTAGTTTCCAATTCAATGCAATTAAAAACAGAGAACATCCTCATTCACATCTCCTTTATGCCTCTTTGAATATTTCTCTGGAATAGAGAACTAGAAGTAGAATTGCTGAAGCAAAAAGGTACGTACATTTTAAGTAGATATTGCCGAATTGCCCCGTCACTCACTGGAGGTTGAAAGGTCTGGCTCCTTATACCCACTTCGGTATTTAATTTATTGGTTTCAGATTTTTGCCAATGTAAAGGGAGAAAGTAATAGCTCCTTGTTGTCTTAATTTTCATGATTACCAATGAAATTGAGCTTTTTATGTGTCCACTTATATTTTTTCATATTTTTTGCTTTTTTTTCTATTTCATTGTATTGCTGATTTGTAGGAATGCTTTATATAGTCTCTATATTAATCCTTTGCCATATATTCTGCAAATACCACATTCCTTGTTTGTTTTCAACTTTGTTTCACCTTTGTCATAGAGAAATTTAAATGTTTATGCAGAATAAATATTCGTGTCTTATTTAAGGTCTCTCTTAAGGTTACAAACATGTTCTTTTAAAAAATACTTAGATTTTTTTTAGCATTTATCATTTTATATTAATCTAGATTTTTGGTGCATTTTAGTAGTATAAATAGAAATCAATCTTTTTAAAAAAATAGATAATCATTTATCCTAACTCCTTTTCTCATATAAGCAAAATATGTATTTATCATATTCTAAGGCTCTAAAAACATACGGGTCAATTTCTGTTCCATTGAGTTATCTATTTTAGTCAGTACCACCCAATTTTAATTAGGTGTATTTTGGTATCCCTAAAACAAGTCTTATTTTTCAAAAATTTTTGGCAATTTTGTGCATTTTTAAAACTACATTAATTTTAAAATCAGCTTGTCACTTTTTAAAAAATAATCTTATAAGAATTTTGATTGAGATTGCATTGAATATAGAAATGACATCTTTATGCACGTGAATCTTCAAAACAAGGAACACAGCATGTTTTACACATAGCATGTGTATGTGTATTCGGTCCCTAACAAAACACAAGACTTTCGTATTAGGGAACAGAGCATTTGCTACTCACAGAGCATCTTATACCTGTTTCCCACACTCATTCTATTTTCTGCTGTGTCTAGCCTACTAGTAAGCCCATCAGTGCGTTCCTAATGCAGTATATTGTATTTTGTATTCTAGAATGTTTATTTATTGTTATGAACAAATTACCTGAAAACTTAGCAGCTAAAAACAATAAATATTTATTATCTCACAGTTTGTGTGGGCCAGAAATCCGGATGAAGCTTGTTAGAGTGTCTCTGGCTTGAGGTCCCATATGAGGTGGCTATCATAGGTTCTTGGTATTTTCATATGAACTTTAGAAACAGCATCTTGATCTCGACAACAAAAAAGTTTGCTGGGATTTTTATTGCTGAATCTTTAGATCAATTTGAGGGTAGAATTGACTTTTTTTTTTTTTTTTTAGAGTTGACATCTTAACAATGTTGAGATGGTATATCTCTTCATTTATTTAGGTCTTCTTTAATTTCTCTTGGTAACATTACGTACTTTTTAAATATACAGGCCTTGCACACATCTTTTGTCAGATTTCTCCGGAAGTATTTCATATTTTTGGTATTATGACAAAAAGTATTTTTAAAAATTTTAATTCCCAATTGTTCATTGCTATTATATAGAACTAGAATTTTTATTTTTAGAGTGGTTTTAGGTTTACAACAAATATAATTGACTTTTGTAATTGATCTTACGTCCTTCCACCTTGTTAAACTGTAGTAGCTTTTTAGATGACTCCATAGTTTTATATACAGCCATGTTGTCTGCAAATAAAGACAATTTTACTTCTTCCTTTCCAATCTGGTTGCCTTTTACTTCTTTTTTAACTTAGTTCACTGGCTAAAACTTCTAGTACAATGTTGTATAGAAGTCATGAGGGCAGACATCCTTATCTTATTTCTGAACTTAGGGAGAAAGCATTTAGTATTTTACTGTTGAGTATATTATTAACTCTAGGGTTTTCATAGACATCCTTCATCAGGTCGAGGATGTTCCCAACTACTCCTAGTTTGTTGAGAGTTTCTTCAGGAACAGATGTTGATTTTGTTTAATACTCTTTATACATCTATGGAGATAATCATATGATTTTGCTTTTTCAGTCTGTTAATATGGTGAATTATATGGATTGATTTTTCAATGTTGAACCAACCTTGCATTCCTAAAGACAAACTCCTTTGGTAATGATGTATTATCGCTTTTATATGTTTAGGTTTCAATTTGATAAGATTTCATTGATAATGTTTGTATCTATATTTATAAGGGATGTTGAGCTGTAGTTTTCTTTCAATCTTAGTCTGGGTTCGGTATCAAATAAAGCTTCCCTCACAGAATGAGTTGGGAAGTATTCTCTCTTGCTTTTCTGGAAGAGTTTGTGTAAAATTTATATTATGTCTTCCTTAAAAGTTTGGTAGAATTCACTACTGAAGCTAAACGAGCCTGGAATTTTCTTCGTGGGAAAGTTAAATAAATTCAATATCTTTAGTAGATATAAGATTGTTCAGGTTGTATAATTCCTCTTGCATGAGCTTTGGTACTTTGTGTCTTTTAAAGATTTTGTCCACTTCATCTATATTGTCAAACTTATTGGCATAATGTTCAAAAGTACTCCCTTATTATTATTTTAGTATCTACAGAATCTGTGTCAAAGTCATCTTCATCATTCTCGGTATGGATCATTTGTGTCTTATTTCTTTTTTTCCTAATCTAGTCTACCTAGAGGATTATATACTTTGTTGATCTCACAAAACCAGCCTTTGATTTTATTGATTTTTTTCTATTGATTTTCTATTTTCCATTTTATTTATTCCCACTCTGATCTTTATTTCCTTTCTTGCACTTATGTGGGTTTTATTTGTTCTTTCATTTCTATTTTCTTAAGGTAAAAACTGCAGTCATTGATTTGAGACCTCACTTTCTAATATAGGTATTTTTAGTGCTATAAGTTTTCCTCTATGTACTGCTTTAGCTGAGTCCCCCCAATTTTGATATTTTTTCATTTTCATCCATTTCAAAATACTTTGATTTCCTTTTGACTTTTTATTTTACCCATATGTTATTTAAAGGTGTATTGTTTAGTTTCTAAATATTTTGGGACTTTCCAGGGACCTTTCTGTTACTGATTTCTCATTTAATTCCATTGTGGACAAAGAACGTACTTAGTCTTTTAAAATCTATTGAGATTTGTTTTATGGTTGAGAATATGATGTATCTTGGTTAATGTTTCATGTATATGTGAAATTCAGGCATTGCTCAGTTTTAACCATCCATAGTTTTATAATTATCATTTAGTTACATTTATAGTAATTTGGAGAGGGTAGAAATTATTGTCTTGAATTAGAAGATATCTATTTGATGTCTTCAAGCATCTCAAGGGAAGTCTCTGCATCCTGTTTATCTTTCTATCCCCTTGGTATTATTCCTGGCCCAAAATGGGAGCTCGATCATATCAAAATGGGAGCTCAGCAGACTCTGGTTGTATGAATGAATGACACTTAGAAATTGTCAGGCTGTGTCCTTGTTTTTGATTCAGAAAACATGCTTCTTGTGTTATGTGACAAGACTGAATCTCACACACCTTTGTGTCTCTGTGTCCCTACAGGACTTCATACAGAGCTTGGCACATTGTAGGTACTCAGGTGGTATCAACGGCATTGAATGGAACTGAAGAGATACCTGCAAAGGTGCTGCCTCTGACTTGGGGAGGTTTAAAGTCATCATGAGGCAATCGACATACTGCTCTGGCCAAGGTTGGAGAGGTCGTCCTGTCATAAAGCTCCCTAAAACGTGATGTCACACACAGAGACCACTCTCCTTGCAAAAGGGAGGGGCTGTACACTGGACTCCCAGACTTAACTGGCTCCAGTGCCCTTCTCAGGCTCGGTCCTGGGGCCTGGAGGTGAGTAGGCTGCTGGACACTGATATGATCGAAGGATACTCTGCAGATCACTGACGTCATCAGGGTTGGCATAGCTGGAAAGTAGGCTTGAAGGCTCCCTCAATAAGGTAAGAATTGTCTTTGACTCCTAGCCTACGTTTTTGGCTTCCTTCCCTACTTGGCATCACCTTTCTCCCCCTCGACTCATTTTCACCCCTTTCCTCCTTTAAACATCCACTCAGAAAAAGCCTGGTAACTCCACTCACACCAAGTTATAAATGACTAACAAAGCTTGCTGCCGAGCACATTGCTAGCAGTATTCCCAGAGGAGATCGAGGGGAAGGTAGGTGCCTTGCGAAGAAATGAAGTGAGCCAAGGCCTGGAAAGGGCCCACTGGATTTCTGTGACTGGTGCATATCGTTGACCTTGCTGAGAGAGGTTTCGGGGACTTACGGGGACAGAACCAGATTGAGGTGGGCTGCGGAGTGAGGGAGAGGTAGAGCGAAGACATCCACTGTAGGCGGCTCTCTCAAAGAGACCGGTGTGAAGGGTAGGGGACCAGGAGGCCGGTAGCTGGAGAGGGCCTTGTTTTTTAGTGGAAGAGATGAGCGGTGTGTTTAAATGCTGATAGGAAGGGGCCGGAAGAGAAGGAATGGCTGAATATACCAGTGAGAGGGGAGACCCCCAAACGCCCAGGTTGTGAGAGGACCAGATGGAATTCAGTAGAGGAGCGGGGGCTGGTCTCAGAGGAAGTGGCCCGCGAGAAGCAGAGAACGTAGGTGGGTTTGGTGGCAGAAAGTCAAGGGGACTCACATCCGATGGTACCTGTGTTCCCTGCTAAAAGTGCGGGAGGCAGAGGTGGGCTGGGCTGTTTAATGAGACTCTGAAGTAGTCCCTGTGGACACTGAGGAGCTGACTTGGGGATGGAGGCTTGCGGGGCCCATCAAGGGCCCAGCTCTCCGGAGACATCAACTTGACAGTGGTGTCAATTTACAGGGGATTCCAATGTTGAGGGTGGAGGGGCGTGGTTTCCAGACAGGATGTTTCTAGGAGGCTAGGGATTTCCCCCAGTACTCCCCAAATTATTCTCGAAATATTGAATAACCCAGAAAGCACTTTAAAGTTTTGGTAGTTTCTAGTCATTATTATTTACTATTATAATGTTCTACCAACGCCTGAGAACATGTTACGCCAAATGTCCAACACAGCCTCACCTTTCTCTTTAATTCTACCCCAACCCCCTTTTCCCATTCGGTGCCCTGGGACTTAACCTTTTCAGCTCTGAGGGCATTGGAACCATCTTTTGTTTGGCACCCTGAGGTCTTAGGAGGAATTTCTAAGCATTTTCTGAGCTCCAAGGGTTAGCCCACTGCATCCTGAGTTCGACCTCTGTTTGTGACCAGCAGGCCATCCCCTGCTGAGCCCTGCCGGTGGGGTTCCTTGCCACTCCGCCCCCACCCCAACGTGACTCCTGCAAGCCCTGTGGTTCAGGAACACGGGGCTCCTGGGCCTGTGAGAGACACTGACTGTTGCCCACCTTTTCTTCTTAGACTGAAAATGGTGTTCGGTCTGTGCCACCAGAGAGAGAGGTAATGTTTAGGTGGGGCCCGTCACCGCATCCGGATAACCAGGAAAGGGAAACCCCACTTGGACCCAAGAGGAAGGGAAAACAGGGTTCTCCGTGCCCCTTTCCCTGACTGTTCCAATGTCCCTGGAACTCAGGGTCCGGGTAGAGGGCCTGGTCCTGGTGGGTGGAACATGAATCTGTCAGCTCAGAGTGGGGAGGACTTTGAGGAGCTGCGGGGGGTGGGGCTAATCCAGCGCCAAATGCGCATCTCTGAATACGAAGCCAAGGCCTGGTCCCTGCCTTCTGGCTGGAGGGCCAAGATGGACCCAAGGAAGGAAGGAAAGGAGAGGGGCGGGGCTGGGGGCCCCTCTGTGCTCCAGGCTCCACGTCTGGCTTTGGAAGTGGCAGAGGCGCAGACTCATGCCGGCCAGTCAGCAGGGAGCCCAGGCCAAGCCCCCGCTACCTACCGCGGACAAATGTATCCACCACAGCGTGGACGGGCTGCGCCCTGGCGGAGCGGATCCTGGGGCCTGGACTGGGGAGGAAAGCTAGTCCTCACCGGGAGGGCACGAGAGACCCCAGCCTCACGTTCAGCTCTGCTTTCTTTCCAGGCTCTTCAAGTCCCTGTACGTGGTGCAGATCTTCGTCCTCGCAGGTGAGGGCCTGGGCGCTGGGGAGGGTTAGGGAGGGCGGATTGGGGACACTGGCTCTTCCCTCAGAGCCCCCCCAGTCTCGAGCTGCCCCCCAGGGCTCCCAGAGGCCCCCTCCCGAGGCTGCCACGTACCTGGCTCCCCCAGGGCTGGCCACACTGCTCAGAGCCCCGGCCAGCCTTTTTCTCCCTTCCTTCCCTCTGCACCTTCAGAGTGAACCCAGGATTTGAACCCATGTCTAACTCTAAAACCCACACTACCCTCCCCAAAAAAACCCTCCACAAACAGACCAAAAAACCCACACAACCTAATTAGGTCCCAAAGCAATGGTTTTCAAAGTTTTGCTTGTATATCCTTTGAAAAACTATATATCCCCTCACCCATTCTAAGTTAATATCTAATACCTTTCATCACGAGTTTAAATAGCTTAAAAGGATATGACTTCCGGCATACTGCAAACACTGACGCTTTAAAATAATCACATCGCTCTCGGAAGTGTTTTTACTGGTCTTTCCTCTCCTCCCCGCAGGAGGGCTGTACTACTACTTTCAGAGGTCCCTAGAGAAAACAGCCCCTGCCCACGAGGTTGCTGGGGCGTCCTTGCAGGTAGGGACCTGCGACAGGGCCCGGAGGCCGGGACTCGCTCCTGGCCCTCAGATGGTCAACCAACGCGTGCGTGTGCGTGTGCGCGTGCGCGTGCGCGTGCGCGTGCGTGTGCGCGTGCGCGTGCGTGTGAGAGGGTTCTGGAGACATTTCCTGCTTCCGGCAAAGAGTCGAAACCCAGGCCCCACCCCTTGTGGGCTGGCCATATGGTCACCTCAAGGCCCCGGGGCAGTGGCCTGGATAAACGCAAAGGAACAGGTGGCCCTAGTGCACGTGGGTAGCCCTGGAGTGTGGTTCTACACTCCTGTGTGGGGTGGCAGTGAGCAGGGCACCCGCCCGGGGTCGCAACCCTCCCTGATTTTGCAGATCTAAGAGCCTGTGGCGGGAGACCCTCCCCCGGCCCGCGTCAGGGGAACGCGGATGGTTGCCGGCTGCCCACCGAGGACCACGTGCTGGATTAGGGGCTGCCCATCTGTTATGTCATTTAAACTTCGCAGCGACCCAGCAGCTCCCACTTTATAGGTGATGAAACTTAGGCTCCCTTTCACTTAGATAAACACCGAGCACTGGAATCGTTGGACCATGTGGTACGTGTGTTTAGTTTTCTAAGAAACTAACTTTTGCAGAGCGGCTGGCGCCCACCTTGCGTTCTCACCAGCACCCAACGCGAAGTTCCAGCTGTTCCATGTCACCTCCAGCCCTTGCCTTTCTTTTTAGCCATTCTACTAGGCGTATGTCATAATTTGCATTAGACCAATATTGAAGATTTACATTTTAAAATCATGTCAATAGTATTCGGAGCCACGTCATGTGGTATACCGAGTTTACTCTTCTCTGCGCATAATTTTGGTTTTGCCTTTTTTAAAATTTTAGTTGGCGCTGTACCTATAATCTCTCAAACTCTCAAATATCAATCTCCTTGCAATACATTTAGACAAATTAGGTGATTTATCAGCGTCGCCATTTTCACGGAGACGTAGTCGCCCGGAGGCCGCGTCCTCCTGCTCCGGTCCGGAGCGATGCCCACGAGGCCCGCTGCTCAGCTGGGCTGGGCTCTCCCTTCACTGCCCCGTGTCGCTCTTTAATTTTTGGTGGCGCACAAGCTCCAGTCGCTTCCTGAGGGGCAGTCTTATGATATTACATGTCTGACAGGGTCTTAAGTCCTACTCGACCAAGAGTTGGCAAAGCATAGAATTCTAGACTAGAAATAATTTTCTCCCCGATTCTGAAGATTCTCGTTGTCTTCTGGCTTCAAATGCTGGTATGTAAAAGTCCGATGCAATCGAATTTCTGAAACAGACTTTTTTCTTTGTATCTCCGGAAGTTTGTAGGTTCTCTTTGTCCTCACTGTTCTGTAATTTACTGACATACCCTGGGGTGAGTCTCCGTCATCCATTGTCGTGGACGCTTGGTGAGTCCTTCTCTGCTGTAGACTTATGTCCCTCATCTTTAGGAAGCGTCTTGATGAAAAACGAATGCATTTTTTTGGTATTTCTCCTGCCGGCCCAGTCCGCCGCCTGTTCCCTGTTTCCGAAAGATCTGTGATGCGGCCGTGGCCGACCCTTTCTTCTCTGTTCTCTCTGGGGAAAATTTTTTTTCAACTTTATCTTCTACACTTTGAATTTTCCAGTCCCATTATCATATCCTATTTTCACTTTTCAAGAATTAGAAGTTGCCGTTAGGCTCTAAAATACAATCGTTCAATTCTCGTTTCACGAATGCCAACTTTTATATTTCTAAAGACGTGGTCGCTTTTTGTTTGAGGTTCTCCTTCAGTCCCCAGTAGTCTTAGGTGTCCGTGTGCAGATTTCACAGCCTTCAGATGTCGCCGCAGCCTTCCCTCCCCCTCCTCCCTCTCCTTGTCCTGCAGCCCGTGGAGGAGACCTTGAGGCCGGTGTGGGGGCCGATGAATAAGTGCTACCCTGTGACTGCTCAGGTGGGTAAGGGCCGGGGCCCTTCTTCCCCTGGAGTGGGGTGACTGTCGTGGGCACACTTGGTAGACACAGTGAGAGGACAGGCCGGCCAGGGAAGGGCTCCCGGCCACTCACAGCTGTTTCCCTCTGTAGAGACGCAGAATCAAGAGTGGGAAGAAGCCAGCCCCTAAGGTGAGTGAGGCCTCCCCCCGAGGGGCCGGGGCTGGGGCCCTCTCCCGTCGGAGCCCCGTGAGGCCCAGGGAACCCTGGCTCATGGCTGGGAGTCCCCGGCAGAGTGGCAGGGTCCCCTCCAGGAAACCGGCCAACCCTACCACAGCTCGAGCTGAGAAGGGCAGGACTTCCCTGGAAAAACAAAGTGTGGAGAACGGGGCGGGACGGGGCATTCTGCGGGCCCCTCGGCCCATCCTACGCCCACCTGTCCCTCCCAGCAGGCTGTGACCCCCGAGGCAACTGGAAGACCGAGTGATACGGCCCCCAAGGAGGAGGCCAACAGCCTGTCGCAGGATGACGGGAAGGCGAGGTCTCCAAGGCTGGAAGCAGCCAGCCCCATTCGCCCTGGGGAGGAAGCGGCTGAGGAGGCGGCGGCAGGGATCCCAGGCTGGACGGTAGGGAAGCCTGGCTCCTCAGCTGGGACACCTCGAGGGCGTGGGTCCTTCTGGGAGCCCCAGAACACTGCAGGGTGGGGCTGAGGGGAGCGGACATGATGTGAGCAGAGCGCGTCTGAATCCTGGTCTCCCCCAACTTCTTGCGCAGTGGGGCCTCAGCTTCCCCACCTGTACAGTGTAGAGCCACCCCGTCCTCACTGTGCCTTCTTCCTTCCCAGGGAGATGAGAAGGCCCAGAAGGAGAGTGCTGTATACCTTGGTAAGACAGCCAACAGCACCCTGCTCCGCACAGCCTCCCTCCCTAACCTCGGCGACCCTGTAGAGGTCACAGATTCCCGGCTGCTCGCAGACCCTCCTGTCCCGAGGAGGGGAGATGTCCAGGCAGCCAGAAGCCCTGACCTTCTGGAATGAGCCGCCCTGCCTCCTGCACCCTCCCCAGGCTGGCGGAGCACCTTGCTCCAGTGCCACCCGCTGCCCGCGTCTGTGGGCGCCCTGGGGAAGGCTCCTCCCGCCACAGGGCGTGCCTGTCTGTGCTTTGTAGAGGCCTCTGGAGTGGAGAGCGAGGAGGGAAGGTCTGGGGGCTGGGTCCCCCAGCTCCTGAGGAAGCTCCGGCTGGACTGGTTCCCAGCTTCTGACGTCCCCAAGACTCCAAACCACGAATGACAAACCATCCAATAAATGCATAAGGTGCTGCCTCTGTGGCCTCTTTGCAGGGCCTCGAGCCCGCACAGACCCAGCATTGTTCTGTCCACACTCCCTGTCCCGACCGGCCGCAGGAACGCCATCTCCTGCCACCAAACCCTGATAGTGGATACACTGGAGAGGCCGAAAGGGCCCTGGCTGGCCTTCGGACGCTGAGCCCAGGGACAGACCATGTTCCCTGAATTCCAAAGGCTGGGGAGCATCCTGTCTTGAGGGCGTTTAGAATAGACACTGGGGAACCTGTCAGGGATGCTGCTGGGTGGCATCCTCTAACCAGTGAGGCTTGGCTGAGTGGCTTCTGCTCTGAGCATCTGGGGGCCCCAGGCTATTCCCTAAATGCACCAGGGGATACTCCCAAGACTCAGGTAAGCAGCCAGCCATTAGAAACCTGGGGTGCTCTGCCGAGAACCAGTCACTTGTGGGGTGGGCGCAGGTGGAGGCTAGTGAGGTCACAGCCCCAGAGCTGGAGCAGGAAGACAGGACCCACTGGCCATCCGGTGCAACCTTCCCATCGGCTGAAGGGGAAACAGAAGCCCAAGGTCACACATGTCATGGCGGAGGAGGAACATGAGGCAGTGTCCAAGTTCCTCATGTGGCCGCCGCCTCCTGTGGCTGCCCCACTCTCACACGGGACCGAGGTTTGACCCCTGTCCCTAGGGCATGCCTGCAGCCCATGGAGGCTCGTTCCCTGCCCCCCTGGCCAAGCCTCCTGAGAGCCCGGCCTGACCTGGCCACTCAGAGAATGGCACCCGGGGTTGGAGCCCAGGCGAGTGTCCTTCAGCTCCAGCTTGGCCATGAGGCAACTCTTACCCGACGAGGGCCAGGAAGATGGCCAATGTGACCTTGGGGTAGCTGAGAGGCTCAGGGAGGTGGCTCTGGCACCTGATGACTGTGCCTGGGTGTTGACCTGGCACATCACTTCCCAGCCTCCCTGAGTTCCCCACTTTTTGGGGCACCGTAGATGAAGTGGGCTGAGCTGCTGGCCTGTGGTGTGGGGTGGGTGGCGTTGGGCCTGCGATGTGGGCGTCCAGGCTGAGGGAGGCCCTTCCCGTCCCCACCAGGGCCTTGGCTGATGGCTCTTAGCAGCCTAGAGTCGCTCTTCCCAGCAGGAGCCAGGACCTATGTATAGAGTTTGTCACCAACCTGAAGAGCCAGTGTTAGGTCTCTGCGAGTGACAAGGGGGTAAGCTGTCGCTTTCTGAGCTTCAGTATACCCATCTCTCAAATGGGGCTGAATGCCAGGTAAGGCTGGATGCGGGGGAGGCTGCCGAGGCCCCATCACTGCCAGGGGCTGGAGAGGGGCCCGGGTGGGACTCGGAGGCAAGGCTGGAGCCACCAGACTGGTTTATTGTACGCCAGGGTCCCCAGCTGAGGAGCAGGCCAGGGCCTGGTGTTGCCCTCTAGCGGGGCACAGCACAGAGCTCGTAGGGGGCCGGGGTAATCAGTAAGCCGTAGGCACCGTGGTCGCTGGGGCGGGGCTGCCCCGCAGGCACCGAGAAGCTGAAGCGCTGCAGGAGGCAGGTGAAGAAGAGGAAGAGCTCCATGCGGGCCAGGGGCTCCCCGAGGCACGAGCGGCGGCCTGTGGGGGGAGGGGCTCGGTGAGCTTGGGGCCTGGGTCACCCGTCCAAGACTCCCCGGGAGAGGCCGTGAGCCGGGCGCGATGCAGGCACCTGCTGAGAAGGGCACGAAGGCTGCCTGCTTGACGAAGTGGCCCTGGGAGTCCAGGAAGTGCTCAGGGTGGAAGCAGAAGGGTTTCTTCCAGAATGTCTCGTCCTTCAGCACCGATGACAGGTTGGTGACAAGCGTCGTCCCCTGGCAGGAGATGCTTGACATGGGTGGAGTCTAGGCTGGAGGATGCCAGGACCCCTGCCACCCACCACACATGGGACACACACTCTACCTGGTGCACACCTGTCCCGGCACCCTCTGTCCCCATGGCAGGGCCAAATGACTCACTTCTCATGGGTGCCCTCACTGCCACCCATCCCTGCAAACATGGGCTCCCCCAACACACTGTGGCACATTTTCCCCACTGACTGGGGGCTCTGAATGGATAGGGCCAGCCCTGCCTCTGCCCTTGTTCCCGCACCCACCAAGACTGGGACAGTCCGTGCCTGTGAAAATGAACGAGTCCCTTGGGTTCCAGTCCTGGCCCCACCTGGCAATGGCCGTGTTGGAGCTACCAGATGGCAGGCAGTGCTGAGCTGGGGTAAGGAGGGCCACAAGCCTACCTTGGGGATGAGGAAGCCCTGCACTTCAATGTCACGGGATGTCATGTGGGGCACGCCCAGTGGGATGATGTCCCCAAAGCGTTGAACCTCATGGATCACGGCCATGGTGAAGGGCATGTGGGCTTGGTCCTCCATCTCTGGTAGCCGTACCTGCCCTATTACCTCATCGATCTCCTGCTGGACACGGCCTGGGCAGACAAGCATCCCCAAGGGGGGCTCTGACCTCCTGATTCCGGTGTAGGGCTGTGCCCACGTGGAGGAGGAGGTCATTCTGACCTCAGAGCTGGGCCCCCGTCTCCGCTTCGAGCTCCCGGTAGCTCAAGCAAGCTCAGGGGCCCCAGGTTGTCCCTTTCCTCCCTCACCCACCCCCCAGCCCCCAGCCTCCAGGCTGGGCTTACGCTGCACATCTGGGTGTAGGATCATGAGCAGGAGGGCCCAGGCCAGCGTGATTGAGGTGGTCGCACTCCCACCAGATAACAGGTCAGCCATCACCAGGCACAGGTTCTTGTCATTGAAGCTGCTCTCGGGGTTCCCCTTGGCCTGGGCGATGCATAGAGGGTGGGCTCGGGCAGAGGAAGGCCCACAAGGGCCTCCCACTCTGCACCCAACAGCCTGGGTGCCTATCACTGTGTGATACACAGGCCTCACCTTGCCTGGGCTCACCTCACGGGGCCCTCAATTCACAACCCCAGGCCCTGTCCCTGGCAGCTGCCCCTCACCTACCTTCTCCACCTCGTCTAGGAAGGCATCAGTCAGGTCTCGGGGTGGCTGGGCTGGGTCCCATGTCCTCCTATGCTCGTCAGCCAGCTCATTCAGCAGGGCTATTAAGGCCTTCTGCGCTGGGAAGACCTTGGCGGCCAGCCCCGGGATGTTCAGGAGCACCGGGATCACGTTCAGCACCTGTGCAGGCCACAGACGCGGGACCCTGCATGGTTGTTCCTGTGCTCAGGTGTTCTTCTTGACCAGTTCAGGTCCCAGCTGCCTTCAGGGCGTCGCCACCATCGACCTGGTTCCTCCCTAAGTGCTGGCCTCTGCCCTCTCTCTTGGCTCGGGCTGCTAGAAGGATAAACCTAAACTCCACGTCTCATGTATTCTGTGGCTCCCATAAAGGAAGTACAAGTTCCTCAGCCCTCTCTGGGGCGGCCGACCCTGGCCTGGCTCTCCTGCCTCTGTTCCCTGCGATTCCCCACCCCGCCCCAGACCTTTCCTCCTCTATGCAGTGGCCTCTCTTGGAATGCCCTTTCTCCAACGACCCTCTATAAATCCTCTGACGAGGCCCACTGCAGGGAGCTGGCCTGCCTTCAGGAGCTCGCTCGGCAGGGGCTCCTCGTCATCTCCCTCCCTGACCTCACGCAGGAATCCCGACTCTTCCTTTAGTCCGTCCTCTAATAGGTCCAGCAGCTTGAGGAAGCGCGGGTCGTTGTACTCGAAGCGGCACCCAAAGATGAGGGAGGCGATCGCGTTGCTCACCGCTTTATTCAGCAGGACTTTGGGACTAAAGGGGCGTCCTGGGAGAGAGGACGGCGTAGATCAGGGGCTCGCCTCCATCTTTCCCAGCCTCTCCATCCCTGTCTCCTGTGTCAGGCCCAGCACTCACCGGCCTGGTCAGCGAAGGCGGCACAGAGGCAGGTGGCTTCCTTGGTCACCCACTGCTCCAGTGACTTCTTGCCCAGGCCGAAATTGCGCATGGTGGACACGGAGAAGCGGCGCTGCTCACGCCAAACGACCCCATAGCGCGCTAAGACCACTCCTGGCGGCGGGAAAGCAGGCGTGGCCCTGGGCTCGCCTCTCCTCCCACACCTTGCTCACCTGCTCTCCTGTCCTCACTCTTCCACCAGGAACAGGTCCAGCCCCGCCTCTTGCCAATGAGCCCCGCCCATTTACATAGAAGCCCCGCCCCACCTCTGCTCACAGCCCGGCCCCTTTCGGTGCAGGCCCCGCCTCCTAGCCCCTTCACACTAACTCATCCTCCATCCCACAAATTCTGCCCACTTGGACACCCCCTTCCAGCTGGGGACAGGTCCCATTCTCTGTCCACCCACATTGCTTGCCAGCTCACCTCTGCTGGGAGATCTTGGTCCCACTCTGCTCTGCCCACCCTGACCACCCTCTCCTTCAGGGACGGCCCTGCCCACCCCTGCCCCGCCCACACTGACTTCATCCTCATTCCCGCCCACCCTGATGTCCTCAAGGCTCGCTGTTGCCCTGGCCGACCCTCTCTCGGAACGGCTCTGCCCATATCCTTCTCCCCCACCCTTGGCACAAGCTCCTTCTTCCACCTGTCGCCCTTCAAGTTTGCCGACTCTCCTCTGCACGCACGTCCATGACCCTGCCTCCGCTTGACCCTGCTGGGTCTTGAGTCACTGCTGTCCCCATCCCCGCTGGGCTGTGGTCTGCCCCCTCCTTCGCTTGCCTTGAGAACGCGGCCCGAAACCCAGGTGCTTGTAGATGGGCATAGGTGGGCGGTCCGCCGTGTCCTCGCTGCGGTTCACCAGCACCTCGCGCACGGCCGCCAGCCCGTTGACCACGACCACCGGCGTCCAGGCCAGCTGCAGGCTGAACACGTCTCCGAAGCGGTGCCGCAGCTGCAGGCGGAAGGTGGAGGATGTTGGTTAAGCCGGGTCCCAGTGTCATGGCCCTAGCTGTGGTGGACTCCTGGGCCGTCAGCACCCACCCAGCTGGTGCAAGGACTTCATGTGGTCTTGCAATTCTATCACATCTTCTGTGATGGAGGACCTCACGTTGGATCAGACCGCCCAGCTGACTTTGCAAAGGTCACCAAAATTGTCAGTGGGCCAAGTTAGCAGCATCCCATTTTGCAGGTGAAGAAATGGTCCATAGAGGTGAGCAGTGAGGCTGGAGGGCCCACAGCAGCAAAAGATTTGAACTCAGTCACTATATCTCTCAACCTCGACCTCCTGATTTAAATGGGGTTCATGACCTGACTTCTCTCCCCCATTCTCCAGACCTTTCCTCATGTAAACAGAAGGGATCCCCGCTTGGGCTCACATAATTTAAGTGCTGTCTGGCTGGATGCCAAACCAGCTGCCAAGTTCCTCCCCCTCCTCCAGGCCTTTGCTCTCTCTGACCTTTGGAAAATCCCAACTGTCCTTCGGGCCCCGCACAAATGCCCTCCCTCGTGAAGCCTCTCAAACCTGCCTCCTCTTCCCAGCTCAGCAACTTGCCCAGCCTGCGGCTGCACCCACCACCCAATGTCTGCTGTGAGGTAGGGCCCCAGGATCCCTGCTGCCGATCCAACCTCCTCACCTGGTTAACACAGCAAAGCATGTCCCGGAAGTTCACCTGCAGCAGGTTGCCCAGCCCAGGCAGTGGCATGGGGCCTGGTGGGTAGCGTGCAGCCCAGCATGCACGTCGGTACATCAGGTCCACCAGGAGCAGGAAGATGGCCACAGCCATGGCCAGGGACGCCAGTGCATCCCCAGTCAGTAGCCCCATGGCTACCTCAGTGCCCACTAGGCTCCTCCGGGCACTCTGCCACCCCTCACCGCACCAGGCCCCTGGGACCAGACCAGGCAGAGGTCATCAGCGCACCCTGAGGGTTTGCCCAGCCTGGGCCCTCTTTATAAAGGGAGCTGAGACTGGCCTTTGCTCTCTGCTGAGTCACCCTGTCAAGTGACTGTGCTATCAGAAGGTACAGGGAGGGGGCAGAGAAGGTCAGGTGAAGTTATGGCCGCAGATGCCTTGTCTCTCCTGTAGTCTCCAGGGGCTTTCCAAGAGTATGGGGAGGAGACAAGAAGCCCAGCTCCCACCAGACTCTTCAGCTTTGTGTAGGCTCCAAGGAAGAACCAGGGATCTTCAGACTTGTCCTGCCACCTGCTTGTCACATTAGGCTCACAATGTGGTCATAGCGTTGTCCTCAGAACGAGTCCCTGCCTTTCCATATGTCACCTGCTGTCTCCTGAGGGGCCTTTTCCTCTCAGGTTTGTTACTGGCCCTCAGATCAGCATTATAGTGACGTCACAGGTATCAGAGGGACCACAGGGTAGGGGGTGAAGTTCTCAGTGTCCTCTCACCTCACACAAGCACACTCAACACACACAAACCATACACCCACACACGCCACCCACATGCTCACATACTGACACAATCACACATCCACAAAACCACACACACTTAACACATTCACTGTTTACACTCACCTGGACACCCAGCACCAAGTCGCTTAGTCTTAGTTGGCCCGTGGTTGCCTAGACCTGACTGACCCCCACCCCCGCCTCGAGGCTCAGCTGGCTCAGCTTCCTGGGTTTTGGTCTTGTCGTGGCAAGTTTGACTCTGTGGTCCCTCAAGGAAAGATGCAAACCTTAGTACCACCCACACCAGAGCGTGCCACCTCCAGGCCGGGATTGTGGCTTCCAGGCCCTCCCTCTTGCTCAGCCTCTCATCCCCTCTAGGCAGAGGGGTGACCATATCACTCCAGGGCAAGGCCACTGCCTACGGCCTCAGCGTTCTCCTTCTTCAACTATAAAAGGGGTACGATTTGCATTTTCAGATCAGTGAAGTTGATGAGAACTGAGGCCAAAGCCCACTCAAATGTGCAGACGCAGGAGCCGGAGGGCGGGAAGGGGCATTTCCCGGGCAGGGTCAGCCCCTCACCCATCCCGAAGGTATGGGAAGCAAGCTCTTTCTGGAAACAGCGCGAGTATTCCCGGGCCTTGGAGGTGCTCTCTCTCAGCCGAAGCCAGGCCCCATATTCCCTCAGTTCTCTCGCTCGCTCCCCCACAGTGAGAGGCATCCCCAATTTAGAGTGCTTGCTCGTGGCCTCTTGGTATTTGCCTTCAACGTTTGCAAACCGTGCTTGGTGTATGAACAATTCCTCCCCTTCCCGAATTCCCACATCCCGCTCTCCTGCCAGGCTCAGGCCCAGAGGGTGCTACTTGCGGGGGCCCAGCTGGGCCCTCCGTGCATCTTGCCTTGGCCAGGGCTTGGATTCTGTTCCATCCACACTGGGCGTCCTGGGTGCCAGTGCTGGGTACTTGCAGCATGGTGGGAAAATGAGGCGGCACCCTGCACCCAGGGAGCAGTGGGAAATCAGAGCCATGTTCCAAGCCAGGAGTGCGGGGATGGTTTTGAAGGCCATGGGACATTGCCCCCGGCTGGAGCAGGGCTTTCTGGGAAGACCTCACGGAGGACTTTGGCTGTTTTGGCACTGAAAGCCAAGGTGAGCTGGCAGCAGGACCAAAGCCCTATTGCAAAATCCTGTGCAAGAGTGAGGGGAAGTGGGAGGGAGGGAAGCAGCTGCAGACGGGGGCTTTGTCAGTCTGGCTGAGGACCGGGCTGAGGGGTCCCTGGGCCTACCAGAGGCAGGGAGACCAGTTCAAAGGCCACTCTACAGACCAGGAGGGCAAGACCCACGGGCACCCCAGGGACTTCTTGGATCTAGCCTGTGGTCTCTCTTGTGGCTTCAGCTGTCCTGGTGGGCAGCAACTTTCTACTGCCCACCAGGACATGCACCAGTTTACATGCACTTGTTTTTTCGGTTGTTTGTTCATTTGTTTGAGGTAGGTCTTTGAGATTATATAGCATTAATACTTATATAGATTTGTGTAATCACTATCACCACAGTCAAGAGACAGAACTGTGCCGTCACTACATGGAAGTTCCTCATGCCGCCCCCTTATTGTTACTGTTTCCCTCCTCACACCTACCCCCTGGCAACTACTTATGTGTTCTTTATCTCTTTAATTTTGTCCTTTTGAGACTGTTCTTTAAATGCAACCATACAGTAAGTAATATGTAGAAACTGGCTTTTTTCACTCAGAATAATGTTCTTAAGATCCAGCCAAGTTATTGGGTGTATCAATGGTTTGTTCCTTATTGCTGAGTAGTATTCCATGGCATGGATGTACCAAATTGTGTTTAACTTTTCACCTGTTGAAGGACATTTGGTTTCTTTTCCATTTTTGGCTATACACATAAAAGCTGCTGTGGAAAATAAAGGAAGAAAGAAAGAAACGAGACTGCGTCACTTTCCTGCAGGCATTCTGCCTTC